TGTGTTCATGATAGGCGAGTGCATTGAAGTGTAAATAATAGATATCAATAGAAAATAACTATAATTAATCTATACCACTTATAAAAGTCTAAATAGGGTCTTGTTTTCTGGAATTTTCATTGGACATAAATTACCCCTTTAATCATTGAATTTTCTTAGGACAAATGTGTACTTTAACAAAACACCATAATTAAGAGTTTAAGATAGTTGTTTTATGGAATTTTTAGGACATAAATTACCCCTTTAATCATTGAATTTCTTGGGACAAATGTGTACTTTAACAAAGCACCATAATTAAAAGTTTGTGACAATTGTTTTCTGGAATTTTCAGGACACAAATTACCCCTTCAATCACCGAATTTCTTGGGACAAATTTGTACTTTAATAAAGCACCATAATTAAGAGTTTAATACATTTGTTTCCTGGATTTTTCAAGACATAAACTACCCCTTTAATCATCGAATTTTTGTGACAAATGTGTACTTTGACAAAGCACCAAAATCAAAAGTTTAAGACAATTGTTTTCTTGAATTTTCATGACATAAACTACCCCTTTAGGCTCAGTTTGGAAGGAGTGCAAATACATACAAAATAATACAGATTACAATGTTTTGCACTCTACAAATTTGCATTTGTACTCCTTCCAAACTGAGCCTTAATAACTGAATTTCTTGGGACAAATGTGTACTTTGACAAAGCACCATAATTAAGAGTTTAAACAACAATTTTTTTTTGGGAATTTTCATTGGACTTAAATTATCCCTTTAATCAATGAACTTCTTGGGATAAATGTGTATTTTGACAAAGCACCATAATTAAGAGTTTAAGACATTTGATATTGTAGTAGTCATTGTTCAAAAGCCATGCATGTGGATAGACTCCACCTCATTCTTCCATTAAAAGTCACTCAATCAAAAATAAATGTATCATCACCTTCACATACACCATTGTAAATGCAAATTTTTCATCCCATTCAAAGGGGAGAAAATTTACAAATAGAACAAATAATTATAAATACATGACAAGAAATAATGATTAAATGAACTAAATCAAATCTGATAAGTTACATATCATTATAACATATATTTCTTTGAGAAAATTTATTGAAGCATGGCATCCTTTTTCAAATTGCCTATATTTATTAAAATAAATGGGCTATTAAAAAGTAGTTCCAATTCAATGCAATTGGACTTCATAAGGTATTTTTTCCAAGCCCATTGAATTTGTGACAAGTGGACAAGGTCTGATATTAGCCAAACCTTTAAATCTTTAATCGGATGGTTCTAAGGTTGTATTTCGTTTGAAGGAAAAAGTAGGGAAAGGTGTCATTTCCCTTCCTTTCCTTTCCCTAGTTTTTTCCTTCAAACCAAACATAACCTAATGAAAATCAAGAAACGTGGACTTACCTGTTTATTTATTTTAATTTTTTTTAAATATAAAAAACAAAGTTTTCGTTTACTAATTTTTTCACCTCTCATATGTCCTACTTTTTAAAAGTAGGAAGGAAAAATATATGATATTGGAATTACATGACACTTGAACCCCTCCCCTCGTGAATTTTGCTAAAACTCAATTGGTTGGCTACCACTTTTTGTGATGTTCCAATATCATGTCATCCCATTGTGTCTTAGTAAAATAATAAAAAACTAAAAATAAATATAAAATTATAAAATATACAGAAGAATTATTTATCATCTCTAATAATAAATATGTGATATTATATATTTATCACATTAAAAAACAAGTATGATAAATAAGAAGAATTATTTGAAATGCAAAACTTAAAAACTATCCAAAGACAAAATCATTTCCTATTGGGTTAATGCTTCAACCTTTTAGTTCAAATGGGTAAAATGAAATTTTAAAAAGATAAAAGCATAGAAATACTAAGAAATATAGGAGTTTTGAATAAAAAATATGCATTTATTGTGTCAGAAAATTGTGATAAATAAAGTTATTTTCATTATTAATGGAAATGGAATAAAAAGTTGAACTAACTCTAAATAAAACTATTTTCTATCTAAGTAGTGGTTAACATTCCATAGGGGTCTACTTAGGTGAGCCCAATTCAAGCCTGTATTGACTTAGATTGCAATTTAAGACAAGTTAGGCTTGGATCTAGCCCTTAAGTAGCTTGAGCCCAACCCAACTATATACATATACAAACATATTTGCATATATACATACATATACACATACACTTATGCCGAATTATAGTCTGAGCTGATTTAGCAACATAAGCCCGGCCCCCAACTCTAGCCCAACTCAAGTGCATCAAATTCCAGTGCAGTTAGGCTTAGATTGGACAGATCAGACTTAGGCTCAAGCCTTGGATTCAATTCTTATGTTTGGGTTTGGGTTGAGCTTAAATTAGGCCTAACCCGCCCAACTTTCTATGCATGCAAACAAATTGAATTGGATTCAAATAGGGAGGTATATCCCAATAATGTTAATCCTATATCTGATCCAATCCGACTTGATGATGTGATGGATCTCCCAAAGATCAATTTGAATTCAAATATACAAAGAAAAACAAAAAAAATACAGGCATTTGTTTCAACTGATTTTTATTATACATACATGTCTTTTTAAAACAACATAAATAATATAAAAAATCAAATTACAATATATACATACATATAGATATATAGATAGAATTCAATCATATTTCTAATGGATCATATTTTACAATCCTATCAAATTCAAATTGGATCATGATCCTATCCATTTTGCACCCCTACAACTTGCACCCTTAATGATTCAATTATTTGGATAAAATGGGTAAACTAATGATATTATAATTAAATAATAACTACTAAAATATATAGAAATAAAAAAGTAAAAATAAAAAGCTTATAGAAAAGTTAACATATATCAAATATTATAAATTTATCATACATTAAACAAAGACAAGTGTGATAAACAATGATTATTTTTATAAATAAGTTGTGAAAATGGAAGATAAAATTTAAGGCTAGCCAAAAATGATATCGTTTTTTCTTTCAAGTCAAATGGTCAACAAATGATGTCATAATTATGTAATAAAAACTCAAAAAATTGTTAAAACAAAAAATAAAGAAAATACAAAAAAAATGTCAAAAAATTATGCAAGCATTTAATATCATACATTTGTCACATTTAGACTTCTTAAACAAGTAATAGTTTTATTAACAATGAAAATGAAAATGCATAATTTAAATCAACAAGAACACCATGCTTTGATTACATAATTAACTTTTTATAACGGTTTTCAATAAGCATATTGAAATTTGCATTTTATTGAGCTATCAATGAAGTTAACACATGCAATCACGTGCACATTTACTATTTTATTTAAAAAATAACATTAACAACTTCAATAGTTTTTTTAAATCATTTATTCTTTTGCTTGCATTAAAATGCTTACAGTAAAATCCCATTTCTATAAATGGAAAATCATAAAAATTCCATCTCAAAAAATAGTAAAAATCATAAAAATGAAATTAAAAATATTTTGGAAGTTTCTTAGTATAATATTCAAAGTACGGACAATAATTAAAAAGTATAAGAATTAGGAGAGAGATCTCAGAGGATTTAAGATACATTTTATTTAAAACCAATTAACTAATACCAAAAATATTATAATATGACATTTATAATATATTATATCTAATATTTTATATCACATAATATACAAAATATATTTTGTGCACAAATATGACAAAATCTTTGAATTTTGAACGAACAATGAATAAAATATGCAAATATTCATGTACTTTTTCAACTTGCCAATTGATGAACCACAAGTTGCAGAGTTGAACATCGATTATCCAAATAAGTTAAATAAGGATCTCATAAAGGGGTAAAATTGGGTTTTCGAAAAAAACCACCCATTGATGATGTCACATGAAAATAGATATTGAGTCTATCGACAAATCGTTAACGGAGGGGAGGTCATTGTTCGATGTATCACCCATTGGGGAGGTTTTAGTCCAATTTGAAAAGAGGATGGAGGTTTCAATATTGAGGAAAAATGTCACGAGAGGTTTAAGTCTTTTACCCCGAAAATCTCTATCCATGGTGTGTACTGTTTTGTGCCCACTATTTGTGTTCATCATGAAATTTGATAAGTACTATAACAAGAAGATGGGCAAAAAAATATTTTTTTAATTACTAATATGAACAACTATTGATTGATCCGGTTTGGTCGGCCAAATCTGGTATATAAGTTTTTTCTTTTAGAAAATGTGTCTTTGAAAATAAATATTAGAAATAATATTAATTAACATGTTTTTATTAAAATATTAATTTCGATATCTAGATTTTTTTTTTCGAATTCATTCAACAATACATAGCCCAAGAATATTGCTTGACAAATAGGGACATAGGGTTAAGCGTGGCCCAATTAGATATATCCTAAGATACAAAACCTTTTATTTTGTATTATTGTATATTATTTATACCGTAAGCCTTAACAAAACATATATTTAAAGGTAGTAAAATAAATAAAATATAATAATAATAATTAATACAAATTTATTTACCAACATATAACCTAAAATTGTTTAGATTGAATTTGATACTACTTGTTCGATTGATATTACCATAGAACCATTGCTGCAATTTCTTTTAACGATACCCATATATAAACGGGACTACGGGAGGCTGATTATTTCTACACAATAAATTCAGAGGGTTTATGGTTGCTATCGTCCTATTGATGGTTGGCATATTAATTAGATAGTAGGATAGACATAAACCATAGATGGTTACGTGGCATTGCATTTCCGCAGTGACACTCTTTCGTGATTCGTCTTTTCAGCCGTGCATTAAGAACATCTCCCGTACTATATGTTTAGGGTTTTTATAGTTCGATCCACCCCTATGAGAGATGTTTCCAATGAACGGTGATGATTTGATGGGGCCACTGCATTACATCTAAGGTCATGATTTTAAGGTCGAACATCGACGGCCAAAATTTTCGCTGTCAGCCTGTCCTTTAAAACAGAAAAAATCTCAGAAGGGAGAGGTAGAGGTAGAGCAAGCGAGCGAGCGAGCGTAGAGAGAGAGAGAGAGATGATGCTGTCTTGGTTGCTAAAATTTGTATTTCCACCTCCCCCATCTGCCTTCATCACATCCATGTCTGTGATCAGCTCGGTATCGTTGGCCAATGCCGGCTTCTCAGAATTAAGGGGCAGTCACTTGCAGTACTCCAAGTTCTGGAATGTTGGTTCTGGGAAGAAGTTAACTGGAAAGGAAATCAAACTATCTAGCAGAACCGGCATGTTTTTCTTCTATGCTCCGGCTTGTCTTGTTGCTGCCGCTTCCTTGGTCCTTTTCCCAGATGAAGGGCTCAGGTTTATGCTGGTCACTTCAGCCCTCACTGTCCATTTCCTCAAGAGAGTCTTGGAGGTACTGTTCTGTTACTCCCACATCCTCTCTTTTTTTTTTTTAAATTCTTGTTATTTGTTAAAAATCCATTCCTTCAAGGTGGGATTGTATGAGAAGAGAAACCAATCTAGCGTCTGTTCTCAAGATAATTTAATGGAATAGGCTGAAGAAGTCAGGAAATTTGTATTGTTTGTTCTGAATTTGAAGTTAGAGGGAGAAAAGCAGTCCATATGGAAACCAATGAATGAAATGATTTTGGTTTTAAAATAGCAAGGTCAGTTGGGTTCTATGAAATGAACCCATTCCCTGGTGACGACTCACTTTTTTTACATGAATTTGGAGTTAAAAATGCCCTCACTATACACTATTTCTTTTTCCTTTACACTAATTCCTAACACCCAAGCTTTTGTTCCAAATTATGTTTGATTTACCTAAATAAGATAATTATTAATCAATTGCCCAAAATTCTAGGTCTCAAAATTTTGATTCTTATATTTGCAAGAATGACTTAGAGGAGAAGGCTTGAGGGAGCTGATTCTCTTTGGTAGCCTTATGGCCCTTATCCATTTCTCACATTCTTTTGGATGGCTAGAAAGAATTTTGATCACTCAAGAAAAGGGAATATAATTAAGATTAAAGAACATGGTGAAGATAGATCATATAGTTGCTCTGCTGCTGCACTATGTCTATGTGCCATTATTAACACAAGTATTTGATTTCCTTGTGTTTGATCTGGTGACACACTGGACAAATTAACTACTAATATGTCCTGTTCTGCAGGTGCTGTTTGTTCATAAATACAGTGGAAGCATTGATCTTGATTCTGCCATCCTCATCACCTTCAGCTATTCCATTTCCACAGTAAGCATCATCTATGCCCAGCACTTAACAAGAGGGATGCCTGAACCACAGCTAGATTTGACATATGCAGGGGTTGTGCTATTTTTGGTGGGAATTTGTGGTAATTTTTACCATCATCACCTCCTTTCAAAACTAAGGGAGAGTGGTGACAGAGGGTATAAGATCCCCAAGGGGGGTTTGTTCAATTTGGTAATTTGTCCACATTATTTTTTCGAAATTCTGATATTTATGGGGATTTCCTTCACCTCTCAAACAGTGTATGCATTCTCTTTTACCATAGGCACCATTTTCTACTTGATGGGAAGGAGTTATGCTACTAGAAAATGGTATGTCTCTAAGTTTGACAATTTTCCCAAGGAGATCAAGTGTCTGATCCCTTATATTGCCTAGATGTAAAAGGTAGTAGACAGAAAGTCTTTTAAGATAGCAGTGGTTTCTTTGGAAGTTTGAGGGTATAAACATCTATGGTTTTGTGTTTTGTATCCAGTATCCACTTCCTATTTCTAAGAAGAAAATTGACATGGACTTCTTTATCATTTTTGGTGAACATGTTTAGTTTCTTATATTTCTATTCATCTTCTGGTATGAAGGAAAGATGGGGATGGGGATGTCTGAAACATCCAAAGTTGATCCCCCCTGAGGTTTTAAGCTAACAAGCAAATTTCTGGGAATTGGTCCAGCCAGATTACTGTGTTTTAACTAACATATCTACCCAACAAAGTAACCAGAGGCATGAAAAATAAACTTTGTTTATATTAATTGGATTGTTCCTAGATTTGTGGTGAAAACAGCATTTACATTTAGACTACAAATATAGTCTAATATTACTGATTTGCAAATGAGCTTGTTTCTGAGGGCATAATTTTGTTGTTTTACATCAACATATCATCAGCTATTAGTTGTGAAGATATTACATGATTCCATTGAGATATTGGAAAAACAGGGGAAGATGGAGAAAGAGCCCCATGTATGTGCTTGGAGACCACTTAAAATGAAATGATTGCAAACTGGGTTCTCATTGCATATGATCCAAATAAAGTATATTTTGCTGCTGAAGAAAACAGAAAAATAAACAAGAACCTTAAATCTATTTAAATTATTCCCAAAAGAGTATTGAAGGCTATATTAAGATACATATTGCAATACACCTTTTTTTTGGTTGAAAGGATAAACCAAAAAAAAAAACACAAACAAGAGCACAACACAAGAAACTAAAACAGATGGATCAATCTAAAATCCATCACCCAGAATCTAACAATGGGATTAACCAAGCAGGAGGATGAGACCAAACAGAAGCAGCCCCTTCCTTTCGAAGCTAAACAGTGAGCTGTGACATTGTCTTCTCTTCTAACATAACCAAATACCAGATTAATCTCCTCTAAACCAAGAATATTCTAAAGCAACGGCCACACAACAGGAGAGCAAACAAAAGACTTGGAAGATACAGATTTAACCACTGGGAGAGTCACTTAGAACCACCAAATCTGTCAAACCCAGGCTTTTTGCATCTAAGGCTCAGTTTGGAAGGAGTACAAATGCAAATATGTACAGTTCAAATATATACAAAATAATACAAAATATAAGATTTTGCACTCTACAAATTTGTATTTGTACTCCTTCCAAACTGAGCCAAGCATAAGGCTCAGTTTGGAAAGAGTACAAATGCAAATATGTATGGTGCAAATACATATAAAATAATACAAAATATAACGTTTTGCACTATACATATTTGCATGTGTACTCCTTCCAAACTGAGCCTAAACAACAATTCTGGAGGGAAGAAACTTCTTATTCAGCAGATTTATATTTATAGGACCAACACATAGCTAACAAAAAGGATCCTGAATCATCTTTAATCATAAACCCAACACCGCTTGAACCAAACTTTGAGAAACTACCATCACTATTAACCACATAAAACCAGCTCTAGGACCAAACCAGAAAACTTTTAGGCTGCTGATGTGGGTTAGCCTGGCCCAGCCCATTGCGGGCTGGGAGGCCCAACCCACTAATGTTTGGCAGCATCAACCACTGCAGGGGGAAGCCCTGCTGCCTTAGTACGGAGCCAACCGCAGGACGATCAAACGTACCTGCCAGGGCCTGTCACCTGACCTTGTACGACCCTCATCTGATGCGTTCACTTTTACCTACCTCCAGCCCGCTCAAATATAAATAAGAGGTAACTCCCCCTTAATGGGGGGCTAGAACTTGGAATTCTGACACAGCTCCCTCATTTACTTCCTGCACCTACCTTGTTTCCTTAGCATTTACCCTTAGAGACCCGGTGCATCTGAGGACTGTCACCAAGACCTCGCCTGCACCCCTCCTACTTTACACCTCGTACTGACTTGAGCATCAGAGGCTCCACCTCGGGTCTCCACCCGAGGCCTCTGACACTTCCTGTTTTGCAGTACCTCGGATCTCCAGGAACCTCGCCACCGGAGTGATGACTCACAGTCCTCGACTTCTACTATCCTCTAAAGGAATGCCATGCCTCGTCCTAAGGTCTTCAACCACGGCTTACCTCTTCCAAGGCCTCGAAGTCTTCAACGTACCCTTGGAACTTGGAGAGTGAATTTACCTCGTTGCTCCGATTAATCTGTGCGGCAACAATTGGCGCCATCTGTGGGAACCGTTGCTAAGATGACCCCATTTTTAGGATAAAGAACATACTCTTACTCCAAGCCCTCCTAAGCTCGAAAGCCATGGTGCGAAGAACCAAGAATAATTAGAACCTGGTCACCTATGAACAGTTCAGGCTGTCCTTGATCGTTTGGACCGCTTTATTCAATGTATGGAAGAAGTCTGCCCCCGAGCAGGAGGTCCCTCCTGAGGCGACCGCCCCGTTGGGGTGTTAGAGGATCAGGGCCGACACAAGCATGTTGAGCCACCAACCCTCGGTCAGGGCAACAACTCGCTGGCCGAGAAGTCGGAGTTGGGCAATAACCACCCCCCAAATTCACCACGAAGGAACATCAGTCACTAGCTTGCGGTCTTACATCGACCACTTTAAAAAAAAAAAGAGCTCAAGCTCAGGGACCTCGACCCCATGGTACCAATGCACGCCGCCATCAACGGGCTCCGAGCCGGCTCCGCCCTCAAGTGTTCGGTCGCCAAGACCCCGCCAAAGACGAAGCTAGAATTCCTAAAAAAGGCCAAAAAGTACATTGCATCCGAGGAGGGAAGTCCCCTGGGGCGATGACGGGCATCTCAGCCGCCTTAGATTTCGCTCTCGAGGCGAGAGCCGATGCCACGCCACTCCACCTCCCATCTCGGATCTCTAGGAAGTTCTGAATGATCGTCACACCCGTAGAGGAGCACGTGACCCGGTCTCGGAGTACTCGGGAGTCTGAGTTGACACCCACCAAGTCCGTGAAGACAGAAGCGGGGCCCATGCCCCCATTGACCCAAGGCTTGTTGAGTTGCGAGCTGAGGTTGGGGCCATCAAAGACAAGCTTTGCCAGGTTAAGGAGAGCCGAGCCAACACCTTAAACCCGGAACCCTAAACCCTGAAAGTCATTTCGAAGCCTCTCCCCCCACACTTCAAGGCTCCTACTTTGGAAATGTACAACGACTCCTCAGACCCGGGCGACCACCTAGAGAGTTTCCAAGCGCTCATTATACTCTACAGGTATTCCGACACCTTGACACACCGTACTTTCTAGGCCACCTTCAAGGGAGTAGTGCGTCGCTGGTTTTCCAACCTCCTCCCAAGGTCATTTAGTTATTGGGAGCAGTTCACCAATATGTTTCTCGCCCACTTCATTAGTAGCAGGCGATGCCAGAAGAGTGTCATCTCGCTCATGTCCATCAAACAGAAGCCAGGCGAAAGCTTATGGTCTTACATCGACCGCTTAAAAAAAAAGAGCTCGAGCTCAGGGACCTCGACCCCATGGTATCAATGCACGCTGCCATCAACGGACTCCGAGCCGGCTCCGCCCTCAAGTGTTCGGTTGCCAAGACCCCATCGAAGACGAAGCTAGAATTCCTGAAAAAGGCCCAAAAGTACATTGCATCCGAGGAGGCTTCTGTCGGGGACCGCACCAGGGCATGGAAACCGAACGCAACGGTGGGCCCTCCGGAAAGAAAAGGAATGAAGATCGCCATGCCGATGGCGGCAAAGATAATAGAAAACCGTCGGCCTCAGCCATGGCCTACAGCCAATATACGCCACTCAACTCCTCCCGGACCCAAATCTTGATGCAAATAGGCGAGGAGAAGTTTGTAAAGTGTCCAGAAAAGATGAAGAGAAACCCCAAGAGAGGGAACCCTAAAATGTACTACAAGTTTCCCTACGGCGTGGGCCACAATATCGAGGACTGCTATGAGTTAAAGAACGAGATAGAGTCCCTCATCCGCCGTGGACACCTGAAGCAGTACGTCAGAGGTGAATCCGACATTTCGTCCTCCCAGCAGCAACAACAACAACAACAACAGCAATAACAACAACAACAACAACAACACCAACAGGTTGCTGGAGTCCTCAACATCATTGTCGGGGGCTCGGCCTCAAGGGGAGCCTCGGCTTTGGCCCGCAAGGCCTACGCCAGGCAGTTGAGCATCCGAGGGCCAGCCCCCCAAGAGGCCATAGTAGCACGAGGACCTCTCCTTCACGGACGAGGACTTAAATGGGATTACAGTCCCCCATCATATGACGCGTTGGTAATTTCGGCCGTAGTGGCAAACTTCCTAGTTAAGAGGATTCTCGTCGATAGTGGCTCCTCAACAGACATCCTCTTCTATGAAGCTTTTGAAAAGATGAAGATAGAACCAGAACACCTCCAGCCTACCGACGTCCCGCTTGTCGGTTTCTCCAACAATATTGTTAAGCCGGAAGGAAAGATCATCCTACCAGTCATGGTAGGAACCAAGCCTTAGCAGGTGACAAGGATGACGGAGCTCCTTGTCGTGAGGATCGGCTCCCCTTACAATGCAATCATGGGGAAGCCGACACTTCATGCACTACAAGCCGCCATGTCCTCCTACCACCTCGCCCTCAAATTCCCAACTGAGCACAACGCCAGAGTCGTTCGGGGGGATCAGTATGTCACCCGCCAGTGCTATGTGGTGGTGTTGAAAGGCAAGAACAAAGAAGCCTTGCCACTAGAGGGCCTTGACCTCAAGGAAGAGCCAGCGAGCCGAGGCCAGCCGACAGAGGACCTCGTCTCAGTTCCCTTGGACGAGGACGAGCCCAAGAAGATTGTCCGTGTCGGGTCCAACCTTCCCCCAGAGAGCCTATCCGAACTGGTAAGTTTCCTAAAAACTAATGCCGACGTCTTCGCTTGGTCCATTGTTGACATGCCCGTAATTAACCCTTCAGTCATTACTCACAGGTTGAGAGTGGACCCGAGCTCTAGGCTGGTTCGACAGAAGAAGAGGAACTTTGCACCGGAGCGATGGAAGGCCATAGGAGAGGAAGTTGACAAGCTACTCGACACCAGATTCGTCTGAGAGGTATACTATCCTAACTGGCTGTCAAATGTGGTTTTGGTTAAAAAAGCTAATGGGAAATGACGAATCTGTATTGATTCACAGA